GGACCAGGAATTGAGAATCGGTAAGTTATTTGAAAATGAGAATGATGGGTCTGTTACCCTGAATCAATTTCAACCGGGCTAGGTACCGGAGGCCTCCCCTCTGTTTTATTCGCAGGGGGGGAAAAAAACAGTAATGGAAAAACAGGTAAGTTGGACCTGAACAAAGATTACATCCACACAGACCTACAGGTCCCTCTTTCGGAATTTGCAGTACCAGGTATAATTAACGGAGGTGAGTTCTCTTTCGATTCTGACCAACCGGACCCAGTGTTCAGCTCCCCAACAAAAATGTTGTGCTCAAACGAAAACAAGAAAATTTGCAAAGGGAGAAATGGGCATGACGAAAGTGGACCGCTGGACATGACGGGAGATGGGGTTTCCAGAAAAAAAGGTTATGTTGGGAAACTCCCACTCTCGAGTGCGCCGCCCATGACCACTCTTACGAGAGCAGACAAGAAGAAAGGTTCGATTCTGCAATACTTAGTTTCAATCATCATCTCTGAAACACCACAAGGGCTTACGTACATGACATGGAAGAAAGATGACTTCCTAGAACTGTCATCAATCCGGGTATTAACTCCTCCATCAGAGAAGCATATCCTGGAATTAACAGCAGAACAGGTATTAATCATACTTTCAAATGTGGCGTGATGCCACTTTCCAAAATGGGGCGCCACATAGTCAACCTGGTAGATGGTTATAAAGTGACACTTTACTGTGTGATTCTGGGGATTGTATCTATGATGAACAACTTTTGTAAGTGGTGCACAATGAGAGCGCACTGGGCTTCATTGATTGATATGCAGTCCCCCGAGATGATTCGGTATCTGGTATCAGTCTAGCGGGAAGCCTTACTGCTGTTGAACGAGCAAAATGGTTGGCTAAAGTGGACGCACAGCAAGTCCTTACCTCAAAAAATTTTCGTAGCCAACTAATAGCACTGTGTGCTCGCGATTCGGAAGTCTCCCCCACCCGTATCCAACAGGCCAGCGGGATCGACCATGTAAATGGTCCTCCCACATAAGATCCGGCTGGCAAGTTGGAACATAAGAGGTTTGGGTGACACAACTTAAAGAGAAAAAAACTCAAGATTGGGCTTTTGGATTCACAATCAAGAGGTTCATATCATCTGCTTGCAAGAAACGAAACTTCATGCAGACAGACTGCAGGATTTTCGGAAGGGATGGAAAGGCCCGCAAGTTTGGTCCCTGACTGAGGGGACCAAAGGGGTATGCATTTTAATACATAAAAACTTAAAAGTAACTGTCATAGATTAATATGCAGATCACGAAGGGCGCTGGGCTTGGGTAAAATTGTCAGTGGATCGGGAAAATTGGGCGGGCATGACGGTGTATGCCCCTGTTAATTACAAGGAAAGAATAAAGTTTTTACAGATCTCCCTGCATACTTACCTGATGTGGAAAACTTGATTATCATGGGAGATTGGAATACAGTTCTTAGCCCGGGGCTAGACACGCCTTCCCCAAGGCTGCTAAGAGAAGATACGGTAAGGCTCCTTTCAGTGGGTTAACGGATGTGTATAGGATAATGAACCCTGATTCTAATGGTTACACATGATACGGTCTGAAGCCAGCGTCTATAATCTCTCAACCTCGTAAGAGGTTATACTTCATCCTGGCTAGGAGTGCAGTTTGGGATAGGTGCATATGGTCTAACTATTTTGTTTCCTCCCTTTCTGACCACTATCCTGTCTTAATAGATATCATTTCTAAAGACATAATTGACAGACATAAACCCCCCTTCAGGCTGAATGTGACGATCTTAAGAGATAACTTGAGGGTATCCCATAATGGGTTAGCGATCAAATCAAAACTCGGTCCAAGGCAAAGACTTTGTTCGAAAGTGAAGACAGGTGAGTGGAAGTGGGATTGGGAATAGTACAGGCGGCCTTGAGGGTTTTCTCAAGGATGAAAGCGACAAACCTTAACTGGAAAGAAAGGTCGCTCATCAGAGAAATCAAAGAGGTTGAGGATAAGATGGGGAAAAACTCGTTCTCGGATTACTACTGATCAACAAGGAGGAAAGAAAGCCTAGCCAAGCTAGAGGCCTTAGATCTCCAAAAATAGAACCAACTTAATGGTTTGAATGACTTAAGGTAAGGGGCATAGTGGGCTATGATCAAATAACTAAGATGACTTTCAGATTCCTTATACTGAGACAAAGTAGACCACCCATCAGGGAGTTGGTCCACCCATTTGCTTGGAATGCCCCAGTGGCAACTACCACGGAACAGATGTGTGGATACGCAATGGAATACTTTCAGGACATTATCTTTACACGTAGATCTTTTGATCCTTCAGATGATGATATGTCCGAAAGCTCTAACTTTTGGGCATGTTCTCACTCAAGGATATCTCCTACGGACTGTGCTAATCTATAACAACCTTTGACAGCGAACGAACTATGGAAGGCAGCGAAGCAGATGGCCCTAGGGAAGTGCCCAGGTTTAAATGGTATGCTAATTGAACTCTTCTTAAGTACCCGGGAAGCCTTTGCCCCCTCCCTGGTGTCCACCTATAACAGGGCCTTGGAAACTGGAACACTTCCAAGAACCGTAACTCAAGGAGTTATCTCCTTGCTGTATAAAAAAAGTGATAAACAGGAGGTAAGAAATTATAGACGTATATCACTTTTGAACGTGGTGTCCAAACTCCTTGCCAAGGCTTTAGCACTACGTCTCGCTGACCTCCTTCCGAATTTGATTGGTTGGAAACAGATGGCGTTCGTTAAAGGAAGGTTCATTTTTTATAACATCCTAACAACGATACAAGCCTTGAAGGTAATCAGTAAAGAAAAAAAGGAAGTCGCAATTTTATTACTTGACATGGAGAAAGCCTATGACAAAGTAGGGTGGACATTTATTTTCACCACCCTGAAGAAACTGGGCTTTGGATAGGACTTTTGTAGATGGGTGAAGGCAATGCACGCAGAGGTCTCTTTCATGGTCATAGTAAATGGAAAACTCTCAGGCGAGTTTACTTTGTCTCGGTCACTTCACCAAGGATGTCATTTGGTCCCCCTATTGTTTGTTAACCAACTGGATATGTTGTTACTAAACTTAAAGACTCATATTAAAATTAAAGGTCTCTCTATTTCCCCCTCCCTCGAGTGGAAGGGAGGGGCACTAACTGATGATCTGACAGTTGTTGTAGAGAATTATCATATTGTGACGCATGAACTACGTGTGGTTTTGAATAAGTATTATTTTTTATCATAAGCCTCAATAAATTGGGACAAGTCGGCTTACTTTCTCCACTCCCCTTATGAGCTCTGTGTGGATTGGGGATTAAAACAAGTTCCTTCAGGCAGGTCTGAATGATTCCTGGGTGTTCAAGTGTCTCTGTCTAACAGTGGTGCAATGCAAGATTCCCTCCTTGTAGATAAAGTAGTTGCAAGAACAACAGAAAAATTATGGCAAAATTTATGACAGAATTATCACATGTGAACACCATATTTCAACCGTTGGAACTGTGTTTATAAACTGTTTGGCGGGTGGGGGTCATGTGTTCCACCAGAAGTGAAGGAAACCAACGCTGACCAAACATTGAAAAAACTGAAACTGGTGTGTCCATTTGTTGGTCCATTTGTTGAAAGGATGTTGGTCCATCTGTTGACAATTTGTTGACAACTTGTTGAAGACTTGTTGAAGATTTGTGGAGAACTTGTTGAAACGTGTTGAGAACGTGTTGAAACGTGTTGAAAACTTGTTCAAACGTGTTGTAAACTTGTTGAAACGTGTTGAAAACTTGTTGAAATGTGTTGAAAATGTGTTCACCTTTCGTAGAACGTTACGTTCTGTGTTGGGGGAAAAAATCGAAATTTTTGGCTTATGTCGTCGGGTTTCGCGGTTTCTTCCAGTCATTTTCTCCTGCTGCACGATATGATATGCCCTTTCGCAAATGTCAATCGTTGAGTCTTTCAGTACTCTTGACATGCAACGAACACAATGACTGAAGAGAGAGAGAGAGAGAGAGAGAGAGAGAGAGAGAGAGAGAGAGAGAGAGAGAGAGAGAGAGAGAGAGAGAGAGAGAGAGAGAGAGAGA